ATAGTGACAATTCATAGATTAGTTAACTAACATCCATTGCATCTATCTATCTTTCTCTCGATAGACTAAAGCAGAGCACGTTTTAGTTATTTGTTTTTTTCTGCCCTGAATCTTTGCATTTGCAGCCACTATTCGTTTTTCACCTTCTTTTACTTTCTGGAGTATGCTCCGGTAGGTAAGAGTGATTTTTTTTTGGGTAAATTCATGACACTTCATAATATTTTCAATAATGTTTTAACAGATAGAAGTTCTTTAGTTTTCCGTTGAATTTGTTGGAATTTTTTTAGACTAGAATTAGAAAGCTTGTTACTTGAAAATGGTTTTAGAAGATTCATTTAGTCAACAACTAATTTGAGGTAGAACAAATAGACTGATTGGATGTTGATACTTAATAGTTAACTGATATTATATTTATTGAATCTACAAAATTCTCCATTTCAATCTTTTTGTACTAATCAACAAAAAATAAAAAAGTAGTCTCATTCAGGCTCAGTACTAACCAACTCATATAAATCTCTGGTGGATTGCCCTGCTTTTTACCAGATCTACTCAACTATCACCCTTATGTAGGATCCACTAAACATTGTTTAGTGGGAATGATCCAAGAAAAGAGAGAAAAAAACAAGGGAGGAAATTAATTAGTGTCTTAATTGTTGAACTATTGCCTAGACTGAGATGTGATTAGTATGCAATAAGACAAATGATGAGTCATTGACAGAAAAAGCAAGAAAAAAAAAAGCTATGAAAACAAAAACACAAATAAATTAAAGCCATGCAAGTTTGGCTTTGTGGCTACTTTTAATAGTCAGCACAGCTAAATTATTTTAAGGCAAAATGATGGTAAGCAGAGTACGGTAACGAAGAAAGTGAGACATCAAAGCACTACATGTTAAACAAATAAAACATAAAAATTACATGTTTCTATGGTGATGTGGATACTGCCTGTACATATTCTCTGTGTCAGCTACTGGGTCTGTTTTTTTATATTTTTATTTTTTCCCCTCTTGGCATGAGAAATGTTACTCTTTTTTATATGTAATCCACCATAAATTCAAAAATTAAAATCATAATTTTTTTCCCCGTAAATCATAATGACATTTCGTCAGCTGTATGTTAAAGAGTACTCAATAAAATAGCGAACAGCACCCATTTTTTTACTCAATATAAAGATTATAAACCATAGTTAGTTACTCCCTCCATCCAGAAATATTTGTCATATTGCGCTCATCGAAAGTCAATTTGATTAATTTTTAAAGATAAATTAGATCACAGTAATGCGATATTTTAAACAAAAAAATTAGATATTTTAAAACTATATGAAAAGTACTATAAATTATAATTTTTTCGTATTAATATGATTAAAAAATGCATTTTAAAATGTTAGTCAAAGTTTTTATAGTTTAACTCTAAAAATAAAAATTATGACGAAGAAGGGAGTTTTATGCAGCTGAAATTTATCCTTACTGCTTATGAATACGTCGAATTAGGGAAAGATAGTTAAGTCAGTCAACTATTTGTGATTGGAAATGATTTAAAGCTCTCTTTTCAGCACTAAAAAGAAAGGCCAAAGGGACCTCCAATAAGTCTTATTAGAATTGGCTTTGTATCGGTGGAATCTCATCATCCATACATAACGAATTAATAACAATTTTATTTAGACTATGTCTCAATAGGGAAGAAAATTTATTTATGGATGGAATCAACTTTTAATGTCGAATCATGATCAATTAAGACAGAAAATAAAAATATTGAGTCGAAGTCTTCTTTTGGTGGCAAGGTAATATAGCTGTGAAAAGTCAGTGTCTTCTGAGAAAGTATAGAATGAGACACACAATGCGTTAGAGACGTTATGATCATTTTCAATACCAAGCTTGATTTGATGCATTGCATATTCCTAGAACTGTGTCCAACTTAAAAAGGCACCTTCACGGAGGGCGCCCACATATGCTTACTAGTTAATACTGTCGTGCACAAATGGTTATATTTTGCTTGTCTTGTTCTGCCTTCTTTTTCTTGTCCTAGACGAACCTAAATTAAATTTGTTTGGTCCTTAGTTACATCACTATCCACGTAACAGTTAGAGAGAAGAATGATAACTTCTGCAGACCAATATTATATTTAGGGGCTAAAAGAAAAAGGGAAGCTTTTTAAGATACCTAAGGCCGTATTTAGCAATAAATAAAAGGGGTGTAAATTATGAAAGTAGACACAGGAAAAAAAGTGATTTCTTACCTTTATTGAAACTTTGGCCTCATTTGAATTAGTAAAATAGCAAAACCTGATGATGTAGTTGAAGTGCCTAAAAATTCCGAACAATTCAACCATAGTCAGAAAACAGTAAAAATAGTGTACGAGTCTTAATCACTTATTTTGTTTGAAAGTTGATTTGTTATTCCCTCACAACGGAGTTGACAAAAATCATAACATAGAAAGTGAAACAGCTAACAGCCTAATATACACAAATAGTATATTATTAACTAACCGTGTAGTTCTGAAATTTGGTTAGATAAACGCATTTGCCTGACTTAAGGCATGTCATATTCCACTGTTAATGCTGCTCCATGTCTCACATTCAATCGTCATCTGCAACTGCAAGCAAGTTCAGATCTTTGGATCTCCCCAATAACTTTTATTGATATCCATAGAAAGTACATTGAAACGTTACAGCAAGCTAACTGGAAATAATTAGCCAAGTAAAGAAGAAAAATTGGATAAAGATAACTTGAAGTCGTGAACTTATTGATCACGAAACTATTTTGTTTGTAACATCAATTGCTCCTCAGGGTTTTATTAGCTACACAGATTTGTAAGTAACAATATATTTTCCCTGGAGGTTGATACCCTTTCTTTATTTTGATTTTCTCCATGATCTCAATTATCTTTTTTAATCATTTTCAGTCTGGTTATGAGAGGAGGAAAACAACTTTAATTCCATCTGCATACTTTATATTACAATCAAACAATGTGAGAACACGTTGGAACTATATGATAAATTTATTGTAGACATTACGCTTGTTGCAAGCTTCATGCCAAAGTGGCAAAGACTACTTGAACAACATGCCCGTAAGTCATATTATACATGCCCCATGGTATGCATTTATTGTGGAGAAACATGACAAAAGACATGATAATAAGGTAATAGCCACATTACCAGATCTATTAGTCCTCCAAATATGCTACTCACACTTAGGATGGTAAAGAATTTATAGACCCCCAGCATCGAATGCACGTCCGTGGAAACCAAGGAGGATCTGGATTCTGGACAATCGGAATGAACACACAGAGGCAGGCAGAGATAACAATTGGCCAGTAATTCCTCGGTTTCCAACAAGAACATTTACAATAAAATGGTACTATCGGTGGCTACAAAAACCAAAATATCAAATGTAGAGCTCAATAATACATAACCATATGACAGGCTCAAGCACCTTCTTTCTTCTAAATCGGGGAAAACTTAAGCAAATGAGAGAAATCATCCGAGCAGCAGATGAAAACAAATAAGATAGACACAAATTGATATATGATCTTCTTCTTTTGTTGTTGAATATGGGAGTGAATTGAAAAGAGTATTTGCTAAATACAACCCAGTCCCAAACACAAAGAGAACATTACATGTACTTCTCCAGTTCTCTTTTTTTAAAGTGAGGCAGTTCACTTAAAACAGTCAATTAGGCGTAGGATAGAAAATCCTTGGCACAGAACTCGTGTGAACTTTGGCATTCAGGGAACATGATTCTCCAACGAGAAATTACATCCATGTCTCTTCCTTACGATTCCTTTTTTTTTTTTTGGAATAGAATGAGAGAGTAGCTTTTTATAAATTAGAGAAAGCATCATCCACCTTTATAACGAAATGGAACTAGCCTTGCGCAAAGGGCAATTGAAAACCTTTCTGGTTCATGCATATGACAAGGATTTTGAGAGCTAAAATTCACAATAAACATCAACAGCCAAACACCAAAGCTTTCAGCTGATCCATCACAGCAATGAGAGGTTCAGCAGAGATCAATAACTAAAGAGAAAACTATAGGTAAATCAACTACGCCTCAATCCCAACTTAGTTAGGTCAACTACATGAATTCTATGTACCAATTCCATTCTTTTCAATTTCGTTATCATAATTAAATTGCTTCTCAACCTACCGTTATATTCCTCTTAAGCTGCGTTTTAGATGTTGGCATAGGATTCAGGCGGACAATTGTAAGGGAAAAAATGGCAACGGTTCTGGTTAATGGCTGTGTTCCGGATGTGAAAGGGGTGCTTAATGAGTGGAATGATTCATAGAATCAACATTATTGCGCCAGATTTAGCTACAATTTGATGAGATTAAACCTGTTGTAATCATGATATCACTTATAGAACAGGAGAAAAACGATGAATATTCTGAAATAAAAGTCTATACTAAGTTAGGGCAAAACTGAAGGTGCTTAAGTTTGGTATGCTGTGGATTTGCGCCGTCTTCTTCCATGGAAACTCTGGTTGATGGTGATGGTCCTCAACTATAACTCCTTTGCCGGGAAAGGGGAAATTTTGAATTCCCACTTGCCCTACGCGGGTTTTTGATTGCAAGTACGTTTTTATTGGAGCCTGAAAGAACATTCGGGTCTGACCCGACTTCGGTTTTAAGGGGTACAGAAATTTCCGAATAATTTTTTATTTTGTAACGATAACTCCTCAAAATTTTCAATATTAGGCATGCCTTGTCATTTAATTTATTTATTAATAAATTTTTTAATCTACTTAATTTTTTATATTAAATACACTATACCTTGGCCAAGTTAATATTTTGAATTTTGAGATTTTAGATTTCAGAAAAAAAAATAATTTTTTATATATATTAGGTGGACTTTGATACAAATATAGAATTTGAATTAAAATTATTAAATTTTGTTAAACTCGTAATTGAAATTCTAGTTCCACCCTTACTTCTATATTATGTTGTTGATGACCACATTCAAAGGGGCATTCCACGTTAATTGAGAAAATAAATGTATATGATCTCGGATAATCCTATCAGTTAACTTTTTATTAAAAGCATATCTTGGGTGCAAGCCACAATACAATACTAACAGTAATTATTTTTAAAGAAACGAAAAGGACCAAGTTATAACTTAAAAATAGAGAGAATAGATTCTGCAGTTGTTATTAGTTCATCTCAAGTAGAGACAACACTGAAGAAGATTAAAACACAAGTCTATATATATAGAATATATATATATAGAGAGAGAGAGAGAAGTGGAAGCTAGCAACACATTAACATGTACCAATCAACATATGTGTTTCTTGCAGATATCCTCCCGTGGTCCGGCGCCTTTCTCCAGACTCATAACGAAAGCTTAATGCATCAGACTATCTTTTTTCACGTATCCTCATTCCCATTGACACACAATTTTCTGAGTGTTCTTGAAATTGAAGTTAATTAACAAACTCCCATCCATTCTCCTAAACACAAAACTCTCCACCATAACATAACAACTAAACTTTCTCCAATAGCCATTCTCACTTTCTATTTCTTCTATACCTTCTACTCTTACATCACTTTCTCCTCCATCAAACCATCCCCTTCTTTCTTGTATCCATCTCATTTTCTCAATAACACCACTATGCAAACCAACTTTCTCCAATGTACATTTATTTCTATATTCCTCTTTCACTCTAAACCAAGCAAACGCGCCACTCCCTTCTTCCTCTTTCACAGCTTCCGTCCCACTTATTAAAGTTAACAACTTCCTCACACGCGCGTCCACCTCCACGTGTGCTCTGTTTCTTCTTGTTACATTCTCACAAGAAAATATTTGCTCCCACCAACACTTGAGTGTCACTTCATAGAACAATGATTTATTCATCTGTTCTTTAGTTTTAATTTTCCTCTCTTTTACTAACACACATGGACTATACCATTTGCCAAGAATTATCGGAACAGAACGTTTGGAAGATGCTTGGATGTTTAATTCAGGGGTATCTGAATCTAATGGTTGAGAGGATAATTGGAGTCCTTGAGCTTCTTTCAAATTGACTTTAAGTGAATGGATACTATTAACGTGCCATCCTTTTTTCCTGAGGAATTTCGGAGGAACTCCATCGTAGGCTACAGATTTTGCATAGAAACCACCAAGATCATATGGACAAATCTCGAATTGTTGATAGGTATCTTTGTGATTAAAAGGCTTTGGGTTTAGATCATTCATCGAATTGTCAAAGCAACAACTATCCATATCTGCTTCTTTCCAAGATGTATATGCCCTCCTACATAAATTGATCGAAATGAACAGTTTAATATAATATAGTACTCGTACGATCAAGTCATTTATAAGATAATTACATAAAAATTTCTATGTCACTAAGTACTACTAGTTGATAATCCGATTAAAAATGGATCACCTGTTAAATTACTAGAGGTCACTATATAGTGATCGGCCTAACCATAGCCTCAAGATAACATACAACATGGGGCTTAGCATGGCAACCCTGACCATTGCACCTTCCATCTTAACTCAACCAACAACAGCTAGTGGCGTAGCGAGGAATTTCAAGGGGAGTCAAAAATTTAAAAAGGTACATACTACTTGTTACATGATAAGTGCATATATAACTAAGCTAAATCTGAAGATATGTTGGTATAGGATACGCGAAAATAAGGTACTTACCCTTTATATCTGCCTTTGGCTTTGATAACATAGTAGCGGCTGGATGCTATTGGTTGATCAAGAACAGGTAAGAACCAAACTTTATGAACACTAGGTTCACCAAACTCTGGATTATGAACAACTTTCAAGACTCTGTCTTGAGGAAATGGGAGTTTAGTGATACTGCTGTGCTTACAAATGCCCCAACAAAAAGTGTCCATTTCTTCTGATTCTTCATCAGTTACTACTAAATACCCTGTAATTGTTGGTGGATTTGTAGGAAATTTTGTAAGTGCTTTTGGGAAATTCCTATACATAGAACGTGGTGCTGTGGCAAACATCTTTGCTAATTTTGATGTTTTGTTTAATTTTTAGGCTTGGGAGTTATTTATACTGTATGATATTTTATAATGTTTACTTATGAGAGAAGGAATATACAGAATGCTTCTATATCTTAGTGGCTCTTTTAACATATTGATAGGATTTAAAGTTCAGTCACGATAATCCATTGAAAAGTTTTGGGATTATAATAGTGCTAGTAATAAAGATTCAGCCAAAGAGGGATAAAGAAAAACTGTGTGACGAACAATGTATTAACAAAAAGACACATTTGTAAAGGTTTATTAAAAAAAAAAAAAAACCTTAATGATTGACCATCCCTTTCACTTAGGACTTGGGAACACTGAATCTTATTTCAATTAAACATCCGAACATATTATAATAAAATATTAAATTAACATTTTATATCAAATTTTGGAAAAAAATTTGTCGTCATCCATTAATGACGTGCTTATACAAAAAATTTATCACGTGTAAGAGTATTTAATTGGAACAGCATGCAATTTAAAATGTCTAGATAAAATTTATTGATGAATTTAAAAATCGTAAATGATTATCGTACTAAGCTTTAAAAAAGAAAAAGTAAACGAAGCTAAGCATGCACCAGAAAAAAGAATAAGCCAACAAAAACAATGATTGGCGACTCTCATACCTCAATTTCCACTTACTTTACATGATATTGTTATTATTTGCTTATGATGTGTACATATATAAAGATTTTATAGTGGAATAACGGGCAGCTTCTTTAGGGTGTGGGCAGTAGCCATTTGTTCAAATTTGTACAAAAAAAAAATGGATAAAGCAAACTTTGGTATCTTTTAGTTTTTGTGTGGACAAGTAAAGCTGTATAAATAATTACACTATAATCGATGAAGTGGGGTGGCCATCGGCCAGAGGGCACCAATTTTAGCTCAAACCGAGTGATAACAATAACTACCCACCCATCTTTATGCACCCGTCATTAGTAGTTGAGAACTTCAATTTTTTTGAATTTTATAATAATCTTTTTAAATGATATTAATTAAATTTAAATATATATATATATAACATAAATTTATTAACATAAATATATTATTTAAGTAAAATTTATTAGATTCGAGGGGAATACAAGCTCCGACCCCTACCATCCAGTAAAGTTATAACTTAATCCAGAAAATTTGCTGTTTAAAAGTAAGCAATGAGTTATCGCATTCACATAGTAGCTACGTGTTTTATGTGCCCCCACCACCAATAATTAAAGGAACTGAGTACGATATATATGTGTATGATTTATATTTTAAAGGGGTTATTTAAAATTGAATGAAGTTGATAATTCGAATTAAAAAATATTATTAGTTTATTAGTATTAGTTTAGCGGTTAAGATAATTGTTTATTTTTTATTGTCGATTTTTAACAATTTGTGATTTTTTCTTAATGGGTTAACCGATAACCCCAATAGTAAATGAAATAATTATATTTATAGCATTTTGTTTATAAATTCTTGACTTAGAGTTTGGTTTTCTGTTTTTATTTTTGGTTGGGTTATTCTACAATGTAAAAGTATTTGCTTTTAAGTAAGATGTAACTTGTGAACTCAAGTGCAAGGTTCATTTGATTTGTCACCTTGTTTCCAAGTGATTTTCAACGTTTTTTTTCGATAAATTTAACGGTTAAACCGATAACCAAACGGATAGCGATTAAATATTGATAAACCAATAAGTGATAAGTCAATATCTTAATCATTCTATAACGGTTTAACATCTCTATAAGCCGATAACTAATAAGTCAAATCGATAAACTTCAAATTAATCGAATCAAATCGATCGATATGTAGACAAACTCTTAGTATAAAAATAAATATAAAAAAGGTTTAAAGTTATCCTGATAGACTTTATTTTATCCACATCTGAAATATGAAATAAAAAAATAGTGTTGATGTTCAGAGGGATCTAGGATTTAGAGTCATTGGGTGCCAAGCAGAGGCGGACCTACATGGTACTAAGCAGAGGCGGACCCTTACGATTTGATAGGGGTTCATGCATACGTTAACCTCTAAAAGAAATCACGTGTATATATGTATATATATCGTGAAAAACTGACATAAAGTAGGATATAATCAACAGTGCACCCATAAGAAACGAAAGGATATCCTTGTTTAGTTGGTACAAGCTAGAGGAACCACTTGCAAGAATACGATTTAGTCTTATTTCATTATTTTTATTTCAAGGTTAGCTTATCAACCATATTTGAGCCATTAGTTACTAATTAAATATTACATTATTCGTTAATTATAGTAAAAGTTTCGTTAACTACCTAAATTAAGATACTATTAGTGCATCAAAATCTTCAAATTTTGGATTCTTCTCTAATGCTCAGTAGACTCATTGATTAAATCAATTTTAGATTCAGATAGAATTATTCGTCTTGTGCCTAAATGAGAGAGCATGATTGGCTGATTACGAAAGACTAAAGCTTCAATTAATGACAATTTTTTGTTGTTTAAAAGTTTAAAGGAAGAGCTAGGATTTCAACGGTCAAGAGATTTTTTTTAATTATATATTTAATCATATAAAAAAAGTCAAAGAATCAAATTAAATTAGTTAAAAAACAATTACGGATCAATACTTAATAATAAGTTAATAAGAAAGAAAAATCAAAAAACAAAAGAAAATGTGTCGTTTTATAAAAAGAAATGCAGCTAGCTGGAATCAATCACATAACCTAAGACCCATTAAGTAGATGCTCTACCACTACACCAAAGATTACTTTTGTTTTGTGGGTGACACATTTATTATTTAACACATATTATATATAAATAAGCTTCGACGGCGGCACAGTACCCCCACAGGCCATAATAGATCCGCCCCTGTCGATATTACACTTTCATATCATATTTACCTTTATTACCAGTGATACTCTACTTGGACGCACCATTTATTCTTGAATTTATATCTAAGTTTTTAACGCTCTTTTATTTTGTTTTTTAATAAATTGTTTGACAGTTATTACATAGACATGTCATCTGGCTAAAATGGATTGGGTGAATTTTAGCAAAAAAATGGCACAATAACAAACTATAGAGTTTATTGGGAATAAATAGCTCACTTTTAATTTTTTAGCAAAATAAATTTATTTTTTTTATTTATTTCGCATTAAATAGCCATATCTTTTTTATTTGAAAATAAATTTTTTTTCTTTATTTTCTCACTCTATTTCTTAATAGTTTTATTGTTCCTTTTTTTCTCTTTTCTTGTAATTTGTAAATAATTTTTTTTATGCGTATTCTTCCTTATATTTTTCAATTCTCCTTTCTTCCTTTTTTTTTCTCCCTCTTTCAAGTGAAGGATTTCTATTTTTTTCTCTAAAATATTTTCATTAAAGATCAATCACAACATTAACTCCTCACTGTAAGTAATAACTCAAATCATATGAATTTTATTTATATTAATTGTCCGGGTTATTTTTTAACTAATTGAATTTTTCTACATTCTTTATTTTGTAGTTGGATGCAAGATTTTTTTCTTTTTACAAATTATCGTACTTGTATTTTTTGCAATGTTTTTCTCCCCCAAAAACTTCAATATATCGTGATTTCCTGAATTAAGATTTTTTCAATTTCTAATAAATAATTAATTAATATATTTCTGACAAGATTTTAAAATATTAAATTTATTGATCGGATTTGATAATGAATATTTATTTTTTCTCCAACAAATGTATCTAAGTTTGTTAATGAATACAAAAAAACACATAATAATTTAAAATTATTTAAATTTATTAATGAATTTCGTTGATTGCATTAAAAAGTAGTTATGCAACCAACTGTATACATATGTAAAATTATAAAGATAGTAATGCAGATAAACGTATACCAATTTATAAATGAATATGGACGAATTTATCCAATACAAATATTTACCAATGTTAATTTGAAAGATATTATTGCAAATAAATGTATATCAATTTATCAACAATACATACAAATGTATACTAACTTATTATGAATATGAACAAATGTATACCAAATTATTATGAATACGAACAAATGTATACAATAAAAATGTAAATTAAAAAACATATTAATGCAAACAAATATACCAATTCATAAATGAATACGAGCGAATGTATCCAATATAAATGTATATCTATATAAAATTTGAAAGATATTACTACAAAAAAAAATATAAATGTATACCAATTTATTATGAATACGAACAAATGTATCCAATACAAATGTATATCAATCTATTAGATAAATATTGATTAATAGATACTGATGCAAATAATGTATACAAATTTGTGTAAGAGAATGAATATGAATTGAGTTCAAAGGCAAAATAATTGATGAGTAATAAATTCATAGGAACCTTTGAAATGAGAATAATCATGATCAAAATACTATTTGTTAATCATAAGAAAAAGATATAATTATAAACTATATTTATCTAGTTTTAAGTGAAAATGGTTGGAGATAGAATAGAGATGGTATTAATTATTTTTTTCATTTTTAAAAATATAAAATAATTTGAAAGAAGAGAGTTTTGAATAATCTAGTTTTAAGGAGAAATAGTTGGAAGTTAGAAAAAAGATGAAATTAATTTTCTTTAATTATTTCAAAAAATATATAAAAATTTGAAAGGTGAGATAATTCTAATTAATATTTTGCTAGTTTTAAGGAATAATGGTTGGAAGTTAGAAGAGAGATGGTATTACAATTTTTTTATTATTTAAAAATAAATAAAAAATATTAATAAATTATTTTTAGGCTAATATATGCCAATGTTTTATCTGTTTATTAATTGCTAATTAATATTGATTATATGTTGCTAATTATATATAACACTTATCTATTTGTGTCAATTCCTAGTTATTTGGGCCCATCAAACATTATGCTAGTAGAGAGTGTATTGAATGAAACCCGGAGGCCGCTTTATATGTTTAGCCCAAAATAGCAAAATCACGTTCTTTCTAACAATTATTACAAATTACGTAGATCTCTTACTAATAAAATTTTAATTATATTAATTCTTTAAAAATTAAAAAACTTAAATATAATAATTGAAGTTCAGATACATAATATGTAGCTCAAATATATTAAAATCTTGATATTAATATGTAGCTCGGATACATTAAAAACTAGCTCTAATACATAATAGGTAGCTCGGATACATTAAATACTGACTCGGATATATTAATATGCAGATCAAATACATTAGAAAAATAAAGAATCTTAGAGACTTTTAGAAGTAATAGAAAATAATGAAAATAAGTGAAACAACAGTATATTTCTGTAATTTATCCTATTTTGTAACTTGAAAAAAAAAGCCAAAATAACCACCGTTAAAGGTGG